GGTCTCCCAGCTTCTGCGCAACATCTAAACTCATAACAACTAAACTAAGTCCATCAATTAGTAAGGTAAATTAAAGATTCAATCTTCAATCAGTCTAGAAGAGACTTAGAAGGGCTATGTAGTAGGCACTTAGGCCTTATCCCTAATAAATTACATACACTCCTCTGCAGCATTGTGTATGCCACCCTCTCCTAAGTGGCTTCAGCTGTGAACATACAGCTCTGTGATGATATAAAGCCAATTAGCCTTAGACAGTAGTGGAGTGAAATTCCAATTGCAAACTTTTTACAGCCTAGCAATGCACTCCCTGAAAACTTACAGAAATTCCAGATAGATCTAAGGCTCTGCTTAGCAACAGTTAACAGTGCAGGGACTATTACACCAATTTCCTTCTTTTTTTCTGTAATGACTTTACGTGTCAGAGTGGCAGGAAAAGGTGGCACATACTGCCAAAATTGTTTCTAAAAACAGTTTACATGGAAAGCAAAATTAAAAATAAGTAAGATAATGCTACATTGCAAGGAGCTTGAAAAAACAAAAACAAGTAAACAAGCTAAACTTTTTTATATACAGGCATCAATATGTTTGACGCTTCTGTTTTCTTAAGAGCAAAATTGTAGTTAATATCATTTACTTCACCAAACTACATATATAAGAACATCCAACTTAATTTAACTGAAATGTACATCTTCAGAGCTTTAATCACTAAAAAAATTAAAAATTGAGAGACCAGGCACAGTGGTTCAAGTCTATAAACCCAGCACTTTGGGAGGCTGAGGTGAGAGGATTGCTTGAGCTCAAGAGTTTGAGGCCAAGCTGGGCAACATAGTGAGACTCTGTCTCCACAAAAAAAAAAAAATACAAAAACTAGCCAGGCATGGTGACTCACACCTACTCTCCCAGCTACCTGGGAAGCTAAGGTGGGAGCCCTCCTCACCTGAGCTCAGGAGGAGGAGGCTGCAGTGAACCGAGACCACACCACTGCACTCCAGCCTGGGCAACAGAATGACACTCTGCTTCAAAAAAAAAAAAAAAAACAACCTGAGAAATTCACAATAAACAACAATTGAACTCGGCTATCAAAGGAGGCTCAAACAATAAAATAAGTCATTTATTCCATCTTTTGCCAATCCACTGTGTGATGAAAAAAGTGAAGTATAGGGTAGAAAAGTATTTACAAGGTCCAGTAGCATGAAAGGCATAGAAATTGCATTGTATTTAAGTATTCATTTATTCAGTAGCTATACATACACAAAGTGCTTTCCAGATGCAGGGGCTTTTCAAAGCACTGACCCAGGAAGAGAGCTTTGATTCCCTACCTTCACCACTATTCCACACTGAGTCAAAGTATGAGATTTTTTTTTTTTATCAGTAATTGTCTACCTTGGCCAGGCACAATAGCTCATGCCTATAATCCCAACACTTTGGGAGGCCAAAGAGAGAGGATTGTTTGAGGCCAGGAGTTCAAGGCCAGCCTGGGCAACACAGCAAGACTTTATCCCTATTCTTTTATTAAAATAATGATAATTCTCACTCCATCACAAAGATACATGTACATGTATGTCCATTGCATCACTATTCACAATAGCAAAGACATGGAATCAACCCAAATGCCCATCAACAATAGACTGGATAAAGAAAATGTGGTACATAGACACCATGGAATACTATGCAGCCATAAAAAGGAGCAAGATTGTGTCATTTGCAGGGACATGGATGGAGCTGGAAGCCATTATCCTCAGCAAACTAACAAGGGAAAAGAAAACCAAGCACCGCATGTTCTCACTTAACAGAGCTGAACAATGAGAACACAAGGACACAGGGAGGGGAATGACACACACTGGGGCCTTGGGGAAAGGCAGAGGAGTGGAGAACATCAGGAAAAATAGCTAATGGATGCCGGGCTTAATATCTAGGAGATGGGTTGGTAGGTGCAGCAAACCACCACGGCATATGTTTACCTATATAACAAACCTGTATGTCCTGCGCATGTACCCTGGATCTTAAAATAAAATAAAATATGATTTAACAATAAAAAATAAGGACAATAATAATAATTGTTCACCTGACGAGTTGCACCATCTAATTATCAAGCCAAACATGAGAAAATGCTTTATTTCCATCCTTTTAAATATATGCCATGCAAAACTTTACTGCTCAACTGCAATGAATACATTTTTAGACATCTGAAAACTCTACCACACCCCTAAAGATAGAGGGAAACACCCTTGAATATTGCAAAATCAAAGATAGAAATTGCTGCCCTAAATAAGAAAATGCTTATGGAACCTGAATAGATAGCTGAAATACATGTATGGGGCAAAACCATTCACCAATAAATCCCAATCTTCATCCCACTTTCCATGTCAATAAAGTAATGGAATAACAAAATATACCCAGAGGTCTATATTCTGCTGCTACCAGGCTAGCCTATAGAGATGTGAAACTAATCTTTTTAGAACAGCCTTGACAACAGGAAAAGATTACCCCAGAAAGGTCCTGCTAAAATAAATTCCAGTTTTTCTGAAACTGTTGTTAGATGCTAGGAATAGTAATGGCCTCCCATCCATAAAAATTATATCAAGGAATCTGATGGGATGTGACAAACCCCAGTTATCATACGTCTCCCATGTGCATCTCCACCTAAAATTGCCCAATTATGAATTGATTCTTCTTTCTCTCCTTATCTCAGTGATGGCATCATTTACTGGTAACCTCAATCAAAACATGGGTGTAATCTTAAACTCTCTCTCCCTTTAACTCCTTACCTAAACTCTCACCTACGCTCATACCCTTCACCAAATTCTGTCAAATTTAACTCTGCCTCCCAAGTATATTGATATATTATCAATTTCCATTTCCCCCTCCTCCTCCTACTGTGGGTCCCTGACACTAGCTGAGCAACTACTTATCTCTCTACAAAGGCCATCTCTCCCTAACTGTTCTTCTCCTTGTGAATCTTGTCACTTCGTACCTAAACTCCCCACCATGTTGCCCACCTCACACCCAACTCTTTTTGGTGCTGTTGTTAAAGATTTTTTTTTTTTTTTTTTTTTTGAGACAGAGTCTTACTCTTTCACCCAGATTGGAGTTCAGCAGCGTGATCTTGGCTCACTGCAACCTCTGCCTCCCAGGTTCAAGCCGATTCTCCTGCCTCAGCCTCCTGAGTAGCTGGGATTACAGGCACGTGCCACCACACTCGGCCGATTTTTGCATTTTTAGTAGAGATGGGGTTTCACCATGTTGGCCAGGGTGATCTGGAACTCCTGACCTCAAGTGATTCACCCACCTCAGCCTCGCAAAGTGCTGGGATTACAGGCGTGAGCCACCAGGGCTGACCAAAGATTTTAAAATTCTAATTATAAGCTGAGAGCAGGGGCTCACCCCTGCAATCCCAGATACTCAGGAGGCCAAGGCAGAGAGTTGCTTGAACCCAGGAGTTTAAGACCAGCCTGAGCAACACACATTGTGAGACCTCCGTCTCTAATATACATGAATTATATGTTTGTTTATATTTAGATATATCTATATATATATATTAAAATTCTAATTATAAAAGTAATGTATATACTCACTATAGAAAATTTGGAAATCATCTTAGAGACATTTAGAGAATGTCTCTTAGAGAAGAGGTAAAATTTTCCTCTTATCTTAAAGAAGAAAATTTTAAAATTCCCAGTTATACCTCCCAGAGATAACCACTGATTTTTGAAAATCTCTTTAAAAATAATACAATCAAGATGCCTAAATAGTGACCACGGAAACTACTGGTTCTACTGCAGGATTCTCTAACTTGATGATTCATCTAATTTGTATGAAAATATAAGATTGGAATAGACAGAAATTCTTCCTTTTCTGCCCAGAGGACTTTAATTTCATAATACATTACCTTCAGTCTTCTCACCCTGTCAATTGTGTGTATATTCCAAGTGTAGTCCTACTTGCTTGAAATAAGAATGGCGTTGCATTTGCTTTATAATTTAGGAATATTCTTATCTAGTGAACCAGTAGAAATTTTTAAAAATTGGTTAAAAGATATTAAGGAAGACAAAGTTGAGATTGCTAAGAAGAAAACTTAAAGATGTATACTGCAGTTAACAAATGACACTCAAATCTGAATGGCTTTCAACAACAAAGGTTTGCTCCACACTTTGTGCCTGTTATAGGCAGCTGCAACTCTCCCCTGTATGACTTCACTTCAGCACCGGGACTAAGAGTAGCCTCTGTGTGAATACTGATGGTCGCTTAAGGAAGGGAAAAGGCAGTATAGTGAATCATGCCTGTCTTTTAGAACTTCTTTCCAAGACTGTGCTGGGGAGCCAAGGTGGGAGGATCACTTGAAGCCAGGAGTTCTAGGCTAGCCTGAGCAGCATAGCAAGATTCCATCTCTACAAAAACAGAAAAAAATAGCCAGGCATGATGGCCCACGAGTGTAGTCCCAGCTACTCAGAGGTCAAGGTGGGAGGATTGCTTGAGGCCAGGAGTTTCAGTCTAGCCTGGTAGATAGAGTAAGAGCTTATCTCAAAAGAAAGAAAGAAGGGAAGAAAGGGAAGAAAGAAAGAGGGAGAAAGAAAGAGAAAGAAAAAGAAAGAGAGAGAAAGAAAGAAAGAAAGAAAGAAAGAAAGAAAGAAAGAAAGAAA